CTTCCTTTGATATGTTCAATTGCCACAGGAGGAAATAATAACACCACATGTTCATGTTCTTTCTTGATAATAGGTAGTTAGTTTTTAGCTAGATCTATTAAAACCATTATGAAACAAGAAAAGCTTTATTTCTCGTCGAATGATTTCACAAACTATATACAAACATAAAAATTTATGTTTGATGACCACATTCCTGATAACAGCAAATGTCAAAATTGTTTCGTTTATGCCACTCTCATATTCCCGCATGAGATGGGTTCTGAATGAATAAGGTCTATTCGACAGAAAAAATTCAATTTGTATGCTTAGCTGAAGAAATAGGTGTTGATTTGTAAACAAACGTTATCATCACGATAAACTTGTGGTGATATTATAGCATTCTTTAGCGAATTAAATAGATCAAGATCGCTGGCTGTGAAAAGAAACTGTTTATTGAAATTTCCCTGAATAAGGATCGTGGCAATTTTGTATAAAGTCGTAACGTACTTTAACATCACATCACCCCTGGTGGCATTATTCAGTACCATAATATCCAAACAATATCAGAATTCTGAGAGTAAGCTCCACATCAAGTGTATATCCAGCCATACAAGTAATGTACATGCAAATCTAAGTGTCATATACGTATATATCCAACTCAATATGCATATACAGTCAATTATATATAGAATGCCAAAAACCAATGTCATATGCATATACAGCCAAGTCATATAAATATAGAATCAAAAATGCATAAACAGGTCATTAGCCATTGGAATATGCCTATAAAACTAACCTATATATATACAAAGAAAGCCAAGCAAATTTGTATGTACAGCCAATTTCATATTTATATATAGCCAATATCACATACACACACTATATAAACTCAATTCTATGTACATAGTCATTCATTTAATAAAGTGTTGTACAAATAAAACTTCATTTCATAGGCATATACATTTAATGTAATATACATGTACATTCATTTAAGTAATATATATACATACACAGCCATGGTTATATAGTCAATTGAGTATACAAATACAATCACTAAAGTGATGTGTATACAAAAGCCAATTCCATATGCATATACATTCAAATTATAGGCTAGGCGATGTGGCGCATCGTTCTAGGCGTTAGGAATACGCTCGCTACCGCACCTCTGATTACCCTGTGTGGGTTCGCAGGTTCGAATCCAATGTGGGGGTTAATTATGTGCCAGAGGAACTTAGCGATTCCGTATGGTGGGTTCAAGAAACCGCTGGTCGCTTACGGCTTGCTATACCATCAAGTCCATGCATCCGAAATCAAATATCGGACAAACTAATTCCATACCCGACATGGACTGGTAACCGGACGAGAGGCCGTGGTTCTTCATGTAAATAAGCCGACTTATCGGCTTTCCTCTCACCCGGGATAAATATGCAAATCCTATCTTATCCATATCCATATAGAGTCAACCAAATATACCTATTAGATCATTGTCATATTCTTATGCCATCAATGTAATATACAGTAAATTCAAGATATTACACAGTCAGTGAAGCTTCATTTAAAAATGCACTGTAATAACAATGCCTCAAACAACTGACAGAAAGCACAGGTTTGTATATATAAAACTTTTACTCGTGGAAAGCTTGTGGTTTCCAACCACTTGTGCTCTATACGTCGTTGAAAGGTTTTTCTTGAAAGAGATTTGTCAGTAGATAAAATTTGACAGGAAAATATAATTTCGTATGCTTAGATGAAATAAGTGTTGCTTGATAAATGAGTAAATATTCCCATCAAGATAAACTTGTGGTAATTGAACAGATATAAACGTTTAGCTAATTATGGATAATTGTCTTTGGAGAATCCGACTACACAACCAAACCAACGTTCGTTCTCGCGGAATTGGTTGAACGAATTTTGAAATAATCCCCATTCGTCCAGTAACAAATTATCAACTGTATTTTGAAATGAAAAGCGGTCGAGATGATTCAAATACAAAGCCCCATGCTGAAACCTTCTTTTCTACTATTAAAATGACGTAAATGTACAAATAATCGGTTTCACTTGAAAGACGAGCGAGTATTCGCTAAATAACTTGCATAAACTATATCTTCTGTAAAATTTTATCCAGACCCTCATAGATCACACGGTTCTGCTGAAGACTCTTGCGAATGTCAGACTATCTGGTGCTTTGGTGAAATTATGACAATTTACGAAAAAGGTGGCAAATTGTTCAAAGGAAACGTTACAGTAAAGGTTTGATTACGTTTATGACAATTTTCCATCTTCATGATTAAAAAAATTTATAGATAAATAGATTTGAATAAACTGAAACTCAAATAACAAATATATATCCATTTTAATTTAGCAAATTCATCAAATAATAATTATGGAAAATGTTAACCTATGAATGCATATTTTTGCTTGCTTTGATTGATTTTTTTATCATGTTTTATTTATCACAGACTCCGTGCAAATGTGAATGCAGAAAGAGATTTCTTATGATGGGATCTTATAGCGGCGGCAAATAATGTTTTTGTATACACATACTTGATTTTTATCACACGAATCTTTTATGGCATTGGACATTTGTAAAATATATAAATCTGAGAAAAAAAGTATTCGACCATTTTTCATTTTTTTCATTCTGTGAGCTGAAGGATTTAGTGTGAGAAGTGTACGAAAATGTTGACTAATTCCACCGTTGTTAGTCGCAATCAAAGTAATTCGACTGATTCAATTTTTCCGTGTCTTTGGGTAATTTACATTTTCATTGAATGATGAATATTGTATGATAAATGGTAGTTTGTTCGCGTACTTCTGAAAGACTTCTACAAAAACACTGCATTGTTAGCATCAAAACTACTACACTAATGTCATGAGCTAACCCATTCTCTTAAGCTACGTAATACATTGAGCAGACTGCAACACTGCTTTATGCGATTGGAACATCACTGAGGTTGCAAAGAATGAATGCCGTTTATCTGGTATAAATGTACCGATATCAGCCTGGCCTAACCTAAACCAGTACCAAGAAAATCAGCTAATAATAGCTATGGCAGGAGACGACAATAAACAAATTAGGTTCAAATGCGTTGCATACAACGTAGAATTCTCCCCGAGGTTATCACACCTCTCTGCAAAGATAAAATTGCTTTGTCATGCACTCGAAAATTCTAATATGTTTAGATACTTACGGAGGTTTATTGGAATATATCACTTGGAGTAATTGTATAATAATATACATCAGAACAGAAATGAACCAACCTTACTCAAGCGAATTTCTTCCTTCGGCTTCCTTTTATACGTTCAATTGGCATAGAAGGAAATAATAACACCACATGTTCAAGTTCTTCCTTGATAATAGGTAGTTGTTTCTTAGCTAGATCTATTAAAAACATTATGATGCAAGAAAAACTTTGTTTCTCGTATAGAATGATTTCACAAACTATATACAAACATAAAAATTTATGTTTGATGACCACATTCCCGATAACAGCAAATGTCAAAATTGTTTCGTTTATGCCACTCTCATATTCCCGCTTGAGATGGGTTCTGAATGAATAAGGTATATTCGACAAAAAAAATCTATTTGTATGCTTAGCTGAGGAAATAAGTGTTGATTTGTAAACAAACGTTATCATATATATTATTAGAGGATTCTGTAGCAAATTAAACAGATCAAAATCGCTGACTGGGAAAAGAAACAGTTTATCAAAAATTTTCTTGAATAAGGATTGCGGTATTTTTGTATAAAGTCGTGAAGTTTATTAACATTACATCATCTCTAGTGGCATTTTCAGTACCATAATATCCAAACAATATTAGAATTCTCGAGTGTTACCTCGACATCCAATGCAAATCAAGCCATTTGAGTGATGTACATGCATATGCGAGTGTCAATGAAAGAAGAATAGATAAAATTTGACAAGAAAATTTAATTGTATATGCTCCGCTGAACTGAATAAACAAGTAAATATTTGCATTTAAATAAACGTGTGGTAATTAAATAGTTTTTAAACCGCTGACCGAAAAAAAAAACGTTTACTCAAATGTGGATAAATGTATTTGGAGAATTCGACTACACAACCAAGCCAACGTTTGTTCTCACGGAATCAGTTAGAGTAATTACAAAATAACCCCCATTCGTCTAGAAAGGGATTAACAACTGTATTTTGATATGAAAAGTGGTAAAAGACATAGCGCCATATTGAAACCTCCTTACTATTTATAATGATAGAAATAAACAAATCATCGGTTCGACTGCGAAAAAAACGAGGGGGTGTTTGCTAGATGACATGCAACACAAAACTTTTTTTGTGAAATTTATTTTGAATTTTTTATCATTTTTCAAATTAATGAGTTAGTTAATCTTAGAGTTCAACCTTCAGATCTGCAGCACTAGCAGTAAATTGTTGAATAATCCATCGTGACGTTAATGTGTGAATCATATGCAGTCTTTGTTTAAGTTTAGCTCTAATAAATGCTTAACATACTGTATATGCACTCGAGGCGTCGTTTTGAAACCTCTTTCAAATTAGTTCAGGATGAAAATCCACAAAGCATATTTTTATACAGGATGTTTCTGTGATTTCTCATATTTGCTCGTATCGCAGTGCCCTAGATATAGGGTATTCCGCTAGATTATTTTGAGTCTGAAAAATTTCAATCAATACTGAACGAGTTTAAGGATATTTATCATGAAATATTAGTTGTAAAATTATAATTCGAAAATGCATTGAGCAAAGCAATAAAAAACTGAGCAGTTTATATTTATTGGTTTGAATCATTTGATGAGAAATATATTTGTTCTTATTTTACAGTGATTTCATCTTAGAACTAACTAACTAAGATCAAGGCAAAACATGAATATAATTACTATTATTTGTTTGTTGTTTATTTCTGCGATAACTGCAAACTATACGCCAAAAGAAGAATATGTGCATTCGGAATTCTTTAAAAGATTCGACAAAAAGGTTTGTTTAATTACACCATTTCTTAATTTTTGAATAAACCCTGAATAAAAAATGTTTAAATATGTTTTGTTCTGTGCAAAGATATCTCTGATTGAGGCAAGTACGTTCAAATATCAGAATCAAGAGGAATTCGTGCCAAAACAATACAAGGAATGTGAACGAATCAGGTTGGATTTTTAATGAATTATATTTTTGTCTTCAAATTCTAAAATAAATAAATTCTTCATAATATTTGAAAGAATAAAATCTAATCTGTAATCTATTGTTAACTTATGTACTGAATATTATTTGAAATTTTATTTGTAAGTCAACGCATGGTAGATATATATATATGATTTTTTGATTTACTCCCGGAGGATGAAAGCTAATAACGCGGCTCAATCATGCAGCGAGTCGCATAAGTTGCGGCAGCATAACTTGGCAACAATACTGGCAGTATATTGTCGTTAAAAAATGATGTTTTTACGATTCCGATTTATTTAATTACCCAGATATACTTCCGGCCCAGACAAATTTTGTTCCGCGAACGGTGATGAAAAACACTCAACTTGCCGAGATAGGAAATGTACTCATATATCTTACTACGGTTCGACAAAATGTAATTCACAAGTGAAATTGTTCAAACCTTTTCAACACTACGGTGTTGAGTGCAAGTAAGTACAAGGTATATAATGGAGTATTGAAACAATTGGTATTTGATAAAAGTTATTAAAAAATAACGTTTGAACAGGAAGCCAAATGAATTTTGTCACGGTGGCAAAAGTAACGATGGACGAGAGAATGTCTTGTATCCAGATCCGTACAGATCACACGATTTAATTGATGACTCTTGCGAATGTCAAACTATCTGGTGCTTGGATGAAATTATGACAATTTACGAAAAAAGTGGCAAATTGTTTAAAGGAAACGTCACAGTGAAGGTTTGTTTACATTCATGACGATTTTTCTAAAATTCTCAAAACGGTTTATTTAATTGAATTTATATTTAGTATTTATTATAATCTTTTCAAATTTGTAAACGTCCATTCAATGAATACATCAGAATTCGGGTTCTAAATAAATTTTTAATAATTATATGAAGACAAATATCAACCACCATCTTGCAATAAGCAAGTAAGTCTCGGTTTGAAACGTTAATAACAAATATCCATCTTAAGCAATTTCATCAATTAATAATTATAGAAAATGTTAACCCATAAACGAATAATTTTTGCTTGTCTTGATTGATTTTATACCACGTATTATTTATCACAGACTCCGTGCAAATGTGAATGCAGAAAGAGATTTATTATGATGGGGCCTTATGGTAGAGGCAAATAATATTTTTTATATACAGATATCCGATCCTTATCAAACAAATTTATCTGCCTTTCATTGCATTGGACATACGTTAAATATATGGATCTAAGAAAAAAATTATTCGACCGTTTTTTTTTTAATTCTGTTGGCTAAAGGATTTAGTGTTAGCAGTGTATAAAAATGTTTACTGACTTTCTCATTGTCAAATGGAATAAAGGGGATTCAAATTTTCCGTGTGATTGATTATTCAAATTTTTCTTGAATGAGTAATTTTGTTGTTCGCGTATTTCAAGGCAAAAACATTGCATTATTAGCATCAAAGTTACTACACTAAAGTCATTAGCTAATCCCTGCTTTACTGCATCATACATTGAACAGACTGAAACATTGGTTTGTGCAAATAGAAAATCACTGTAAACTTGTTTATCCGGTATAAATGTACCGATATCTGCATGATCCAACTTGAACCAGTACCTAGGAAATCAGATAATAACAAATATTACAGCAGAAGGCAATAAACAAAATTAGGTTTGAATGCGTTGCATCTAACTCAGAATGATCCCCGGGGTTATCGCAACTCTCAGCAAAGATAAAATGGCTTTTGTCTTTGGCATGCACTCGAGAATTCTAATATTGTATGGATATTGTGAAAGTAAGAATATACCACTTGGAATAATTGTATAATATACATCAAAACGAAAATGCACCAACCCTACTCAAGCTAATTTCCTCCTTTGCTCAGCGATCTTTTATACGTTCAATTTCCGCAGATAGAAATCAAAGCACCACTCAGTTTATTCATACACTATAAGTCGTTTATTAATCAACAGATATTTTTGTTGAAAGTACAAAATTTAATATTTCCCGTCAAATTTATTTACTGATATATTTCCCATGTTTTTTTAAATAAAATTTTAAACGTCATATAGTTGTGCCAATGGTGCTTACCAGAATCCTGCAATCGGTAATATTTCAAATAATTATCTACAACTTATAATATCTCTAATTTCTTTGAGCATTTTGATTCTAGCGTAAGGCATTTTATTAAAATGAAATTTTCCATTTTGACGAATAATCTGCAGTTATTCCAGAAATGAACAACAATTAAAATATTTATATTCATGTTCTTTCTTTATATCAGATAGTTACTTCTTGGATAGAATTATTGAAATCATCGTGAAACAGGAAAAACTTCATTTCTCTTTGAATGATTTATAAACTACCTAATTTTTTATTTACTCGATGCATTTACGGAATTGAACTTGACAGCCCATATTTCATAGCAAATATTCTATCACTTGGTATTCATATAAATTGGATTTTTGTCAGACTCCAATCAATCTAACAGGATACTTTTGGGCGATGTAACCAGATATGAGAAATCACAAAGACATCACGTATTAAATTTGCTTTGTGAATTTTCATCTTATACGTTGAATACATTCGGAGTGTTGTTAGTTAAAATACCTATTTAAAAGCAGTCCCAACGACGAGTAGAAAAGATACGACAGAAGTAGCCAATGCAGAGCGTTAACGGGTTACAGCGCATTGGAAGAATGTCGTGGTCCGTGCTGTAGTTGGAAAAGGGTTACCCACTAGGAAGCACCACATCCACTAAAGTTTAAATGTTTATTCGAAAACTTGATCATGTCAAAAGTATTGAAAGGGAATTTAAAATTATTGTATATTAATAAAATTGTCTATGTTCAGCATGAGGGTTAAATAACTTGAAAACCATACAAACATAAAAATTTAGGTTTTGTTGACCACATTTCCTATAACAGTAAATGTCAATATTGTTTTGTTTATGCCACTCTCATATTCCCGCAAGATATGGGTTTTGAATATCTAAGATATATTCGACAGAAAAAATTTAATTTTGTATGATTAGCTGAAAAAAGTGTTGATTTGTAAACAAACGTCACGATAAACTTGTGGTGATATTAAAGCATTCTGTGGTAAATTAATCGCTGGCTGAGGAAAAAAATCGTTCATTGAAATTTGCTTGAATAAGGATTGTGGCCCTTTTGTATAAAGTCGCGAAGTACATTAACATCACATCACCCCTAGTGGTATTCTTCAGTACCATAACATCCAAGCAATATCAGAATTCCTGGAGTAAGCTCCACATAAAGTGTATATCCAGCCATACGAGTAATGTACATGCAAATCGAAGTGTCATATACGTATATATTCAATTCAATATGCATATACAGTCAATTACATATAGAATTCCAAAACCAATGTCATATGCATATACAGCCGAGTCATATAAATATAGATTCAAATATGCATAAACAGGCCATTAGCCATTGGAATATGCATATAAAACTAACCTATATACAAAGAGAGCCAAGCAAATTTGCATGTACAGCCAATTTCATATTTATAATAGCCAATATCACATACACACATAATATAAACTCAATTCTATGTACATAGGCATTCATTTAATAAAGTGTTGTACAAATAAAACTTAATGTTATATAGGCATATACAGTTAATGTAATATACATGTACATTCATTTAAGTAATATACATACACAGCCATGTTCATATAGTCAATTGAGTATACAAATACAATCACAAAAGTCATGTGTATACAAAAGCCAAGGGGGGAGGGGTGATTAGGTGCCAGATGAACTTATCGATTCCATATGGTGGGTTCAAGAAACCGCTGGTCGCTTACGGCTTCCTATACCATCAAGTCCATGCATCCGAATACAAATATCTGACAAACTAATTCCATACCCGACATGGACTGGTAACCGGACAAGAGGCCGTGGTTCTTCATGTAAATTAGCCGACTTATCGGCTTCCTTCTCCCCCGGGATAAATATGCAAATCCTATCTTATCCATATAGAGTCAACCAAATATACCTATTAGGTCATTGTCATATTCTTATACCATCAATGTAATATACAGTAAATTCAAGATATTACACAGTCAGTGAAGCTTCATTTAAAAAATGCACTGTAATAACAATGCCTCAAGCAACCGACAGAAAGCACAGGTTTGTATATTTAAAACCGTTACTCGTGGAAAGCTTGTGGTTTCCAACCACTCGTGCTCTATACGTCGTTGAAAGGTTTTCCTTGAAAGAGATTTGTCAGTAGGTAAAATTTGATAGGATAATATAATTTCGTATGATTAGGTGCCAGATGACATCGATTCCGTATGGTGGGTTCAAGAAACTGCTGGTCGCTTACGGCTTCCTATACCATCAAGTCCATGCATCGGAATACAAATATCTGACAAACGAATTCCATACCCGACATGGACTGGTAACCGGACAAGAGGCCGTGGTTCTTCATGTAAATAAGCCGACTTATCGGCTTCCCTCTCCCCCGGGATAAATATGCAAATCCTATCTTATCCATATAGAGTCAACCAAATGTACATATTAGGTCAATGCCATATTCTTATGCCATCAATGTGATATACAGTTAATTCAAGATATTACACAGTCAGTGAAGCTTTATTTAAAAAATGCACTGTAATAACAATGCCTCAAGCAACTGACAGAAAGCACAGGTTTTTATATTTAAAACCGTTACTCGTGGAAAGCTTGTGGTTTCCAACCACTTGTGCTCTATACGTCGTTGAAAGGTTTTCCATGAAAGAGATTTGTCAGTAGATAAAATTTGACAGGAAAATATAATTTCGTATGCTTAGATGAAATAAGTGTTGCTTGATAAATGAGTAAAATATTCCCATCAAGATAAACTTGTGGTAATTGAACAGATATAAACGTTTAGCTAATTATGGATAATTGTATTTAGAGAATCCGACTACACAACCAAATCAACGTTCGTTCTCGCGGAATCAGTTGAACGAATTTTCAAATAATTCCCAGTTGTCCAGTAACAGATTATCAACTGTATTTTGAAATGGAAAAAATGAAAAGCGGTCGAGAGGATTCAAATACATAGCGCCATGCTGAAACCTTCTTTTCTACTATTGAAAGGACGTAAATGAACAAATAATCGGTTTCACTTAAAAAACGAGCGAGTAGTCGCTAAATAACTTTCATAAACTATATCTTCTGTAAGATTTATTTTTGAATCTCCATGATTTTGCAAATCAAGGAACTGATCTTGATGTCCAACTTTTAGATCTGGTGGTATAGCATAAAATGGTTGAATTATCCATCGTGGAAAAGTGACGTTAATGAGATATGGGTAAACTTGCTACAATTTTTGTTTAACTCCAGATATGATAAATGCTCAAAATATATATTGTATATGCACTCGGGGCGTTGTTTTAAACCTTTCCGCAACTTAGTCGAAGATGAAAATCCACAAAGCCTATTTTAATACGGGATATCTGTGTGATTCCTCATATTTGTTCGCAACGCAGTGCCCTAAGGTATTCCGTTAGATTAATTACAGTCTGAACAATTCTAATCAAAATCAAATGAGTTTTAGGATATTTATTATGAAATATCAGTTGTAAATCGGAATAGTATTGAGCAAAGTAATAAAAAATTGAGCAATATATATTTATTCGTTTAAATCTTTTGATGAGAAAGATATTTGTTTTTATTGACAGTGATTTCATCTAAGAACCAACTAATATCAAGGAAGAGCATGAATATAATTACTATTATTTGTTTGTTGTCAATTTCTGGGATAACTGCAAACTATACGCCAAAAAAAGAATTCGTGCATTCGGAATTCTTTGATCGATTCGACAAAAAGGTTTGTTAAATTTCCCCCTTTTTTCATTTCTATTTTCAATATAATATTTTTAATTATATTTTGTTTTGTACAAAGATATCTCTGATTGAAGCAAGGAAGTTCAAATTTCCGAAACAAGAGGGATTCGTGTCCAAAAAATACCCGAAATGTGATCAAATGAGGTTTGATTTTTATTGAATTATATTTTTGTCGTCAAATTCTAAAATATATAAATTTTATATAATATTTGAAAAGTTATAATCCAATCTGTAAGCGATTGTTAACTTATATACTGAATATCATTTAAAATTTTATTTGAAAGTCAACACATGGTAGATTAATTTTTTTATTTACTCCGGGAGGATGGAAGCTGATAACGCGCCTCAATCATTCAGCGAGTCGCACAAGTTGCGTCGGCATAACTTGGGAACAATACTGGCGGTACCTTGTCGTTAAAAAGTTGATGTTTTTATGATTCCGATTTATTTAATTACTCAGATATACTTCCGGTCCAGACAAATTTTGTTCCGCGAATGGTGATGAAAAACACTCTACTTGTGGAGATAGAAAATGTACTCACATATCTTACTACGGTTCCACAAAATGTAATCCACAAGTCAAATTGTTCAAACCTTTCAAACACTACGGTGTTGAGTGCAAGTAAGTGCAATTTGTTTAGAAGGGTGATAAAACAATGTGTAATTGTGGGGAACAATTATAATATAAACTTTATAACAGGACGTCGAAGAAAACTTGTGGTAACGACAAAAGGAACTATGGACGAGGGGATATCTTGTATCCAGACCCTCATAGATCACACGGTTCTGCTGAAGACTCTTGCGAATGTCAAACTATCTGGTGCTTGGATGAAATTATGTCAATTTATGAAAAAGGTGGCAAATTGTTCAAAGGAAACGTCACAGTGAAGGTTTGTTTACGTTTATGGCGATTTGTCAAAAATTGAATTTATATTTACTATTTATTATAATCTTTATAGATTTATCTTTTTAATATCTCTCACTATTGTTTGAAAACAAATACCAATTACCAATATTGCTCAAAGTAAGTAAAACTTGGTTTGATACTATAAGAACAAATATCAACTTTTAGCACAATAATCAATTAATTATTACGGAAAATGTAACTCCTAAATGAATATTTTTTGCTTGATTTGATAGATTTTATATCACGTTTTATTTATCACAGACTCCGTGCAAATGTGAATGCAGAAGAAAATTTCTTATGATGGGACCTTATGGAGGCGGCGGCAAATAATAAATTTTATATATATACATGTTTTTGATCTTAAGCACAATCTGTATATCATTGCATTGGGCATTCATAAAATATATGAATCTGAGAAAAATATTATTCGACCGTGTTTTTTTTCATTCTGTGCGCCGAAGGATTTAGTGAGAGAAGTGCACGAAAATTTTGACTGACTCTGCTGTTGTTGATCACAATCAAAGTAATTCGATTAACTCAATTTTTCTTTTCTTGAGTACCTTAAATTATTTTATATGATGGATTTTGTATGATGAATGGTAGATTGTTGGCGTACTTCTAGGCAAAAACATTACAATATTTGCATCTAGGTTACTGAAGTACTTAGGTAATTCATTATCTAAAGCTATGTCATACATTGAACAGATTGCAATACTGCTATAAATGCACCGACATCTGCATGGCCCAACTTAAATCAGTACCTTCAGTATTTTCATCCTCCCGGAGTAAATACAAAAATTATATCTACCATGAGTCGACTTATAAATAAAATTTTAAATATTTCTTACTGTATAAGGTAAAAATTGCTTACATATGGGAATAAACCTTTCAAATATGACATAAAATTTATTTATTTCAAAGACAAAAATATAATTCAATGAAAAGCAAACCTGATTCGAGCAGATTCTGGATATTTTTTCGATACAAATCCCTCTTATTTCGACAATGTAAACTTACTTGTTCCAATTAGAAATAAATATATTCAAAAATAATAAATTCAAATTTGAAATAAAGAAATAGTGCAATTCAGTAGTCGTGGGCCGCCGAGCATTTTCTAGTGTGCCTCCAATAAATTTCAATTATGGCACGGAAGTTCTATAAATCCAACATTACATATAACTTTATTTGAATGTTTTTTGTTAATATGTCAAACGATCATTCACGCTCATTTCAATTATAGTACAGGCATTGATTCTATTCTGTTTTTTTACATTTTTAGGTACTCGTTCATTGTCACTAAAATTGCACAAGCTAACTTCGTGTACCGATACGTTCGGTTAACCACAGAGATGATGCGTAATTTAACAAACCTTTTTGTATATTCGTGTGAAGACTTCCCAATGCACAAAAATTTCTTTTGGCAAAATAATTTGAAGTTATCGCATGAAAGACTAACAAACTAGTGATGGTAATTATATCTATCCTTGTTGTTAATTTATGTTAGATTGTTGGTTTTAAATAGAATCATGGAAATCATTCTAAAATTAGAATAAATATATTTATCATAAAATGACTTGAAATGAATGACTTGCTTTTTCTATGTTTTAGATTACGATGCTGAACATCACAACTAATACAGCATTTTGGATATTCTAACACTCGCTTCATTATAATAGGAATTATTAACGCACGTCACTGGATTTCCCAGACATCTCCCGAATACTTTTTTAATATATATATATATAAAAATGTTAGAATACTCTGTTTCGATATTTAATTTAGGCGTTCAATTTTTATTCTATATCTTATGCTGTGGTAGACCCTATTTAGGTTGATTATTTTGTTTCTATAATCCTATTTAATATAAGCTGTGTATTTTCATTTTATTCATTTTCGTGCTGTGTTAGACCCCATCTAGATGTCACTGCTCGAACCACTACTGTTTTTTTAGCGTCTGCTATTCTAGTTTCATTCTACACTCATATGTAATTTTCGCATTGGTGGAAAAATAAATTACTGATTACGGATTTTTGAAAAAAAAATCAACACCTCATAAATCAATAATTACTAGAAAATGAAGTGAGTTTTGCAATAAAGGGGACCGGACTATGTTTTATATTTTATTTATATTTCTTGTCAAGTTATTGCATATGCATTGGTGTGTGGTGACTGAGCCCTAATTTGTTCCATAGTTAGATTCAGTTACTCGACTCCAACCACCACTGCATATGTGAACTGTGCTGGGGATTCCGGTAAAGTCGCACCGCTGCACAAGGTATTTTCATTTTTCGATGATATAGTTAGGTCTGTTTAGCGGAAAGCAGTGTTAAAATGTATGGATGCAAAATTCGCACATCCATACGGTACGGAAAGACCTCAGACTGCGAACATCGACTTTGTAGAATATAAATATGTATATATATATAAATATACTGGCTTTCCAGCAACTTCTTTTGTTTGTAAGCGCAAAAAATGGAATAATTGGAATTGATAAGGCCGATAGTTTAGTCAGATAAAAGAAAAATTTTCCAACAACAACAATCACCCAAAATATCAACGTCAACCATTGAAAACGATTCATAGGTTGACTTCGTGTTCAACAATTCCATTGTACAGGGTGATCAGACCAGGTGTAGACAAATGTTTATTAAAATGTTTACAATATGAATGTAAGAGAGAAGGGGATGTTTTGCAGAAAATAGCAGTATAAGATAAATAATAAAATTCATTTTTTTTTCGATCTATCCTCCCTTTGCCTTCACTACACGTGCGATCTGTTTGGAACTTGACTGCACGGGGCACGTAAGTTTTGTTCTAAATTTTGTCACTGTTACGTCACGATCCACAAGATTATTGTTTGGCAATAATATTGTTGCCACATGTAGGCGCTGTTGAGTCGATTTCGACGCCATCAATGGATATTGCACCATACTTGCGAGATTTTAGCAGCCGAGTTTTGCTGCCATGTCAAGTTTCTTTGTGTTGGTTTTATTGTGGTTTGCTTATTGCTATTTATTGTGTTTATTATCTTTAGATGACTTAGACATCTAAATTAGTTAGTAACTGGATTTATTGGGTTGTTGCCCTTGGTGTTAAGATATTGTGCTGTACATTTGTTACTGTGAAGAAAGTGTACTGATGTTTCCAGAATGTATTATGCAATGATTTTTGGGTAAGAATGCTAGTATTTAGAGTTGCATAATTTGAAGTTCACTGATGTATGTGTATTAAATGTTGTCATTGTTAACAGATTGTGAAGTATTCTCTTGGATTCACAAAGTTTTCTTACCCGGTGTCATAAATATTATCGGTATGTTATTTATATTTGGATCATTGCTGAATTTGGTATTACGGTAATATTTAGTTTTATAAGTGTTCTAAGACATGTTATTTTGTTTTAAAAAACCGTCTTCCATCTTTCATTTCCGTCTATTGTGATGTTTGTGTATTGCTGAGCATTTCATGTTATGCTATCAATTCTTCGAATTACAATTTCATTACAAGTTTTCAACAATTGGTTGTGTTTGGACAAGGATTTGGGAGATGCGTTTTCGATTTGTTAGTTTTCTCTATGTGACACCTTGTGTTATCGGGTCACGTTGAAAGGGAGGTTACATAAAGTTTTCGATAATATTTATGACACCGGGTAAGAAAACTTTGTGAATTCAAGAGAATACTTCACAATCTGTTAACAATGACAATATTTAATACACATACATCAGTGAACTTCAAATTATGCAACTTAAAATACTAGCATTCTTACCCAAAAATCATTGCATAATACATTCTGGAAACATCAGTACACTTTCTTCACAGTAACAAATGTACAGCACAATATCTTAACACCAAGGGCAACAACCCAATAAATCCAGATACTAACTAATTTAGATGTCTAAGTCATCTAAAGATAATAAACACAATAAATAGCAATAAGCAAACCACAATAAAACCAACACAAAGAAACTTGACATGGCAGCAAAACTCGGCTGCTAAAATCTCGCAAGTATGGTGCAATATCCATTAATGGCGTCGAAATCGACTCAACAGCGCCTACATGTGGCAACAATATTATTGCCAAACAATAATCTTGTGGATCGTGACGTAACAGTGACAAAATTTAGAACAAAACTTACGTGCCCCGTGCAGTCAAGTTACAAACAGATCGCGACGTGTAGTGAAGGCAAAGGGAGGATAGATCGAAAAAAAAATGAATTTTATTATTTATCTTATACTGCTATTTTCTGCAAAACATCCCCTTCTCTCTTACATTCATATTGTAAACATTTTAATAAACATTTGTCTACACTTGGTCTGATCACCCTGTACAATGGAGTTGTTGAACACGAAGTCAACCTATGAATCGTTTTCAATGGTTGACGTTGATATTTTGGGTGATTGTTGTTGTTGGAAAATTTTTCTTTTATCTGACTAAACTATCGGCCTTATCAATTCCGATTATTCCATTTTTTGCGCTTACAAACAAAAGAAGTTGCTGGAAAGCCAGTATATTTATATATATATACATATTTATATTCTACAAAGTCGATGTTCGCAGTCTGAGGTCTTTCCGTACCGTATGGATGTGCGAATTTTGCATCCATACATTTTAACACTGCTTTCCGCTAAACAGACCTAACTATATCATCGAAAAATGAAAATACCTTGTGCAGCGGTGCGACTTTACCGGAATCCCCAGCACAGTTCACATATGCAGTGGTGGTTGGAGTCGAGTAACTGAATCTAACTATGGAACAAATTAGGGCTCAGTCACCACACACCAATGCATATGCAATAACTTGACAAGAAATATAAATAAAATATAAAACATAGTCCGGTCCCCTTTATTGCAAAACTCACTTCATTTTCTAGTAATTATTGATTTATGAGGTGTTGATTTTTCTTTCAAAAATCCGTAATCAGTAATTTATTTTTCCACCAATGCGAAAATTACATATGAGTGTAGAATGAAATTAGAATAGCAGACGCTAAAAAACAGTAGTGGTTATCGAGCAGTGACATCTAGATGGGGTCTAACACAGCACGAAAATGAATAAAATGAAAATACACAGCTTATATTAAATAGGATTATAGAAACAAAATAATCAACCTAAATAGGGTCTACCACAGCATAAGAAAAAGAATAAAAATTGAACGCCTAAATTAAATATCGAAACAGAGTATTCTAACATTTTTATATATATATATATTAAAAAAGTATTCGGGAGATGTCTGGGAAATCCAGTGACGTGCGTTAATAATTCCTATTATAATGAAGCGAGTGTTAGAATATCCAAAATGCTGTATTAGTTGTGATGTTCAGCATCGTAATCTAAAACATAGAAAAAGCAAGTCATTCATTTCAAGTCATTTTATGATAAATATATTTATTCTAATTTCAGAATGATTTCCATGATTCTATTTAAAACCAACAATCTAACATAAATTAACAACAAGGATAGATATAATTACCATCACTAGTTTGTTAGTCTTTCATGCGATAACTTCAAATTATTTTGCCAAAAGAAATTTTTGTGCATTGGGAAGTCTTCACACGAATATACAAAAAGGTTTGTTAAATTACGCATCATCTCTGTGGTTAACCGAACGTATCGGTACACGAAGTTAGCTTGTGCAATTTTAGTGACAATGAACGAGTACCTAAAAATGTAAAAAAACAGAATAGAATCAATGCCTGTACTATAATTGAAATGAGCGTGAATGATCGTTTGACATATTAACAAAAAACATTAAAATAAAGTTATATGTAATGTTGGATTTATAGAACTTCCGTGCCATAATTGAAATTTATTGGAGGCACACTAGAAAATGCTCGGCGGCCCACGACTACTGAATTGCACTATTTCTTTATTTCAAATTTGAATTTATTATTTTTGAATATATTTATTTCTAATTGGAACAAGTAAGTTAACATTGTCGAAATAAGAGGGATTTGTATCGAAAAAATATCCAGAATCTGCTCGAATCAGGTTTGCTTTTCATTGAATTATATTTTTGTCTTTGAAATAAATAAATTTTATGTCATACTTGAAAGGTTTATTCCCATCTGTAAGCAACTTTTACCTTATACACTAAATACTATTTAAAATTTTATTTATAAGTCGACTCATGGTAGATATAATTTTTGTATTTACTCCGGGAGGATGAAAATACTGAAGGTACTGATTTAAGTTGGGCCATGCAGATGTCGGTGCATTTATAGCAGTATTGCAATCTGTTCAGTATATGACATAGCTTTAGATAATGAATTACCTAAGGACTTCAGTAACCTAGATGCAAATATTGTAATGTTTTTGCCTAGAAGTACGCCAACAATCTACCATTCATCATACAAAATCCATCATATAAAAAAATTTAAGGTACCCAAGAAAAGAAAAATTGAGTTAATTGAATTAGTTTGATTGTGATCAACAACAGCAGAGTCAGTCAAAATTTTTGTGCACTTCTCTCACTAAATCTTTCGGCCAACAGAATGAAAAAAAAAACACGGTCGAACAATATTTTTCTCAGATTCATATATTTTATGAATGCCCAATGCAATGATATACAGATTGTGCTTAAGATCAAAAACATGTATATATATAAAATTTATTATTTGCCGCCGCCGCCGCCATAAGGTCCCATCATAATAAATTTTCTTCTGCATTCACATTTGCACGGAGTCTGTGATAAATAAAACGTGATATAAAATCTATCAAATCAAGCAAAAAATATTCATTTAGGAGTTACATTTTCCGTAATAATTAATTGATTATTGTGCTAAAAGTTGATATTTGTTCTTATAGTATCAAACCAAGTCTTACTTACTTTGAGCAATATTGGTAATTGGTATTTGTTTTCAAACAATAGTGAGAGATATTAAAAAGATAAATCTATAAAGATTATAATAAATAGTAAATATAAATTCAATTTTTGACAAATCGCCATAAACGTAATCAAACCTTCACTGTGACGTTTCCTTTGAACAATTTGCCACCTTTTTCGTAAATTGTCATAATTTCACCAAAGCACCAGATAGTCTGACATTCGCAAGAGTCTTCAGCAGAACCGTGTGATCTATGAGGTTCTGGATACAAGATATCCCCTTGTCCATAGTTCCTTTTGTGGTTACCACAAGCTTTCTTTGACGTCCTGTTATAAAGTTTATATTATAATTGTTTTCCACAATTACACATTGTTTTATCACCCTTTTTAACAAATTGCACTTACTTGCACTCAACTCCGTAGTGTTTGAAAGGTTTGAACAATTTGACTTGTGGATTACATTTTGTGGAACCGTAGTAAGATATGTGAGTACATTTTCTATCTCCACAAGTAGAGTGTTTTTCATCACCATTCGCGGAACAAAATTTGTCTGGACCGGAAGTATATCTGAGTAATTAAATAAATCGGAGTCATAAAAACATCAACTTTTTAACGACAAGGTACCGCCAGTATTGTTCCCAAGTTATGCCGACGCAACTTGTGCGACTCGCTGCATGATTGAGGCGCGTTATCAGCTTCCATCCTCACGGAGTAAATAAAAAAAGTATATCTACCATGTGTTGACTTTCAAATAAAATTTTAAATGATATTCAGTATATAAGTTAACAATCGCTTACAGATTGAATTATAACTTTTCAAATATTATATAAATTTATATATTTTAGAATTTGACGACAAAAATATACTTCAATAAAAATCAAACCTTATTTGATCACATTTCGGGTATTTTTTGGACACGAATCCCTCTTGTTTCGGAAATTTGAACTTACTTGCTTCAATCAGAGATATCTTTGTACAAAACAAAATATAACTAAAAATATTATATTGAAAATAGAAATGATAAAAGGGGGAAATTTAACAAACCTTTTTGTCGAATCGATCAAAGAATTCCGAATGCACGAATTCTTCTTTTGGCGTATAGTTTGCAGTTATCCCAGAAATTGACAACAAACAAATAATAGTAATTATATTCATGCTCTTCCTTGATATTAGTTGGTTCTTAGATGAAATCACTGTCAATAAAAACAAATATCTTTCTCATCAAAAGATTTAAACGAATAAATATATATTGCTCAATTTTTTATTACTTTGCTCAATACTATTCCGAATTTACAACTGATATTTCATAATAAATATCCTAAAACTCATTCGATTTTGATTAGAATTGTTCAGACTGTAATTAATCTAGCGGAATACCTTAGGGCACTGCGTTGCGAACAAATATGAGGAATCACACAGACATCACGTATTAAAATAGGCTTTGTGAATTTTCATCTTAGACTAAGTTGCGGAAAGGTTTAAAACAACGCCCCGAGTGCATATACAATATATATTTTGAGCATTTATCATATCTGGAATTAAACAGAGATTGTAGCAAGTTTACCCATATCTCATTAACGTCACTTTTCCACGATGGATAATTCAACCATTTTATGCTATACCAGCAGATCTAAAAGTTGGACATCAAGATCAGTTCCTTGATTTGCAAAATCATGGAAATCAAAAATAAATTTTACAGAAGATATAGTTTATGGAAGTTATTTAGCGACTACTCGCTCGTTTTTCAAGTAAAACCGATTATTTGTTCATTTACGTCCTTTCAATAGTAGAAAAGAAGGTTTCAGCATGGCGCTATGTATTTGAATCCTCTCGACCGCTTTTCATTCTCTCCATCTCAAAATACAGTTGATAATCTGTTACTGGACGACTGGGGATTATTTGAAAATTCGTTCAACTGATTCCGCGAGAACGAACGTTGGTTTGGTTGTGTAGTCGGATTCTCCAAATACAATTATCCATAATTAGCTAAACGTTTATATCTGTTCAATTACCACAAGTTTATCTTGATGGGAATATTTACTCATTTATCAAGCAACACCTATTTCATCTAAGCATACGAAATTATATTTTTCTGTCAAATTTTATCAACTGACAAATCTCTTTCAAGGAAAACCTTTCAACGACGTATAGAGCACAAGTGGTTGGAAACCACAAGCTTTCCACGAGTAACGGTTTTGAATAAACAAACTTGTGCTTTCTGTCAGTTGCTTGAGGCATTGTTATTACAGTGCATTTTTTAATTAAATAAAGCTTCACTGACTGTGTAATATCTTGAATTTACTGTATATTACATTGATGGCTTAAAAATAGGGCAATGACCTAATAGGTATATTTGGTTGACTCTATATGGATAAGATAGGATTTGCATATTTATCCCGGGGGAGAGGGAAGCCGATAAGTCGGCTTATTTACATGAAGAACCACGGCCTCTTGTCCGGTTACCAGTCCATGTCGGGTATGGAATTAGTTTGTCAGATATTTGTATTCGGATGCATGGACTTGATGGTATAGGAAGCCGTAAGCGACCAGCGGTTTCTTGAACCCACCATATGGAATCGATAAGTTCATCTGGCACCTAATCAACCCCCCCCCCCCTGCGTATTCATAACGCCTAGAACGATGCGCCACATCGCCTAGCCTATAATTTGGATGTATATGCATATGGAATTGGCTTTTGTATACACATCACTTTAGTGATTGTATTTGTATACTCAATTGACTACATGAACATGGCTGTGTATGTATATTACTTGAATGAATGTACATGTATATTACAATGCACATTTGTGCAATTGTTTCGTCATAATGAATTATCATTGTTCCCGCAGGACTATTGTGACGTCACAAAGGCAAAATAACCTCGGCGAAGTATTTTCGAGTTTTTGCATTTCGGATTCTAGCTTAGCGCGTATTAATTTGAATTTATTCTACAGTATAGGAAGACGTTCACTCGTGATATTTACTGTCCGAGTCAAATTCACCTTGGTTGGCTTTTATATTGGGTACATTGCTGTTTTATTCTTTATATTTAATCTTAGTCTTATTTCGGTGGGTGTGCAGAACGTGTTATATTGATTAAATATTTATTTTTGAACATATAAAATAATGTAGTTGAAACTGATTAGCTATTTTGGGGATTAGACATTAGATACTAAGAATTTCATTCGTTTTTAGAATGTTTAGTTTTCAGAACTGGTGCATATATTAAAGTTGCAAAATTGCGTATGTCCCTAAGTCATAGGCACATTTCTGCCTAAGTTACAGTGCGCCATTATGACGTCACTTAACTGCGTCATACAAATTAACTTAAATCGGGCTACGGTCAAAAAATTGAACCATGGAAATTTATTGACTCTCAATGGCATAACAATATCATTAGGAAGTTTTTTATTACGTTTTTCTCAAAACTGCTAAAAATGACTTACGCAATTCGGTTATTAGCGTGACGATATTGTCGTTAATAAATTGATGTTGTTCCGATTCCGATTTATTTAATTACCCAGATATACTTCCGGCCCAGACAAATTTTGTTCCGCGAACGGTGATAAAAAACACTCAACTTGCGGAGATAGGATATGTACTCACATATCTTACTACGGTTCGACAAGATGTAATACACAAGTAAAATTGTTCAAGCCTTTCAAACACTACGGTGTCGAGTGCAAGTAAGTGCAATTTATTTAGAAGAGTGATAAAAAAAGGGTAATTGTTGAAAGCAATTATAATATAAACTTTATAACAGGAAGTCGAAGAAAGCGTGCGGTAACGACAAAAGGAACTATGGCCGAGAAAATGTTTTGCATCCAAACCCGCGTAGATCATATGATTTGGATGACGACTCTTGCGAATGTCAGACTATCTGGTGCTTTGGTGAAATTATGACAATTTACGAAAAAGGTGGCAAATTGTTCAAGGGAAACGTCACGGTGAAGGTTTGTTTACGTTTATGACGATTTTTATAAAATTTTCAAAACATTTTATCAAATTGATTTTGTATTCGGTTTTTTATTATTAATCATTTTAAATTTATAAACATTCATTCAATAAATACATTCGAATTCGGGTTCAAAATTATTTTTGTTAATATTTCTCACCATTGTTTGAAGACCAATATTATCTACCATTTTGCAATATTGCTTAAAGTAAATAAGACTTGGTTTGTAACTATAATAAAAAATATTAATTCTAAGCAATTTCCTCAATTAATAATTATGAATAATGGTAACATGAATGCATAAATTTTTGCTTTTATATAACGTTTTATTTATTACAGACTCCGTGCAAATGCGAATGCAGAAAAAGATCCATTATGATAGGACATTATGATACAGGAAAATAATATCTTTTATATACAGATATTTGATGTTTATCACAATCTGTATTTCATTGCATTGGACATTCCTAAAATATTCGAATCTGAGAAAAAAATTATTCGACATTTTTCATTTTATTCTGTGGGCTAAAGGATTTTGTGAGAGGAGTGTATGAAAAAGTTGACTGCTCCGCTGTTGTCAGTCGCAATCAAATTAATTCAATTAATTCAATATTTCCGTTTCTTGGGTAGCCTACCTGAACCAATACCTAAGAGCTCAGCTAATAATAGATATCGCGGGAAACGACAATAAACAAAATTAGATTTAAAGGTGTTGCATATAACGAAGAATTCTCCCCGTGGTTGTCGCAACTCTTAGCAAACATAAAATATTGTTTGGGTACTTCGGAAGGCTAATTGAAATATATCACTTAGAATAATTGTATATTAATATACTTCAGAACAAAATTCACCATCCTTACTCAAGCAATTTTTCTCCTTCGGCAAGCGATCTTTGATATGTTCAATTTCCACAGAAGGAAATAATAACACTACATGTTCATGTTCCTTGATATTGGATAGTTAGTTTTTAGCTAGATCTATTAAATCATTATGAAAGAAGGAAAACTTTATTTCTCGTCGAATGATTTCACAAACTATATACAAACATAAAAATTTATGTTTGATGACCACATTCCAAATAACAGCAAATGTCAAAATACATTCGTTTATGCCACTCTCATATTCCCGTATGAGTGGGAAACTTTTTCTGAAATTTTTTTGAAATGTCTCTCTTATAATCGGCATAGCGTAGGGAAAATTAGCGTGACGTGTCTCTGGATACTGTTAGTAAAAAGCGACAAAAAACTCTTTCCAGCGGGACTTTGGGAAAGTTTCTTGCACGTTTTAGTAACTAGTTATGACATATTATAGAAGGGGTATAAAAATTCCCTCGGACCGTTGAAAATAAAGGGGTGTACATCACCCCCATTGGCATTTTCCAGTACCATAATATCCAAACAATATTAGAATGCTCGAGTGTAACCTCGACATCCAATGCATATCAAGCCATATAAGTGATGTACATGTACATGCGAGTGTCATAGAAAGAATATGCATAAATAGTCAGTTATATAATGCTGAAGTCATATTATTGTCTAACCAACTGGATATACCTATGCAGCTATTCAAGCCATATACAAGAAAATTTGATATTATAGGCATATGTGTCCAACTGAATTTGCATATACAGCCATTGAAGTGATGTGCTGACAAATTCCATATTGAGTCAACCAAACATACATATTAAGTCAATGCCATATTCTTATGCCATCAATTTCATATGTATATACAGCAAATTCAATATATTATAATGCCAGAAGAGTTTTATTCTAAACAATTCATTACATTGGCATAACACAACAATAAAACGCTTAAAAAAAGTATTCGTGTAGCCTCACTTAATAGTGAATGAAGCACTACGATGTTTTCTTCAGGATGAAGATGTTTTATGATTTTAGAAATTAGAATAAACGTAAAATTTTATAATAAATTTGCATGTTGAAGTAAATGATTCAAAATACTGCAAACATATATAATTGTATTATTTTCAAGCGAAATTTTCTTGGAAAGGCTAGGAAAATATAAAATACGTCGAAAATCTTTTTTTTTTCAGTAGTAATAAATATTTATAATGCTATAATATTACAGTATAAAGATTTGATTCAGGAACAACATATGTTTTTAATAATTAATAAAAAATAATAAACATTTAAAACAGTGATGGTGGCTTGTGGCATGTCACCACTAATGCGCAATATGGCGTTTTTATTGTTTTTACCTTGTGAGATTTCTGTCAGTAGATAAATGTTGACGTCAAGTATTTAGTTCTGTATTCGTGACTGCAGTGTTGATCTATAAACAAGTATTCGCTTCACATTGAATTTGTGGTGGTAATGTCGCATTATTAGGTAATTGAACAGATTAACATCGCTCACCGTAGAAAGCGATGAATAGAGATAATTGCTTTTAAATAGACCTGAGGAATATTTAACATGGAATTACTCCAATTGACATATTTCAAATACCACAATATCTAAACGATATTAGAATTCGAGTGTGTAAGAAAAACGAATCAATTCTGAATTAGCGCTAGAATGCAGTAACAGTAATTCCGGAACTAAAATTCTTCATCTCTTTTTTATTGAAAGTTAAAACTCTGTGTGTTGTTGCTGGATATTGTTGCTCGTTTTGGTTCCACACGGCCTTCAAATGCCAGTAAAACTTTGTGCTAATCACGTTTATGTAATTTGTGCACGATGGATTTTTATTGGAATAAACAAACTTGACATTTTTCTAATATTTCCCAGTTATAGGCGAAAAAGCACGGTTTATGTACACCGCAAGTTTTTGTTTATTGTTGTCTTCTCCGACATCCATTATTAGCTATTTTAGGCATTAGTTTTAAGTTATGCCATGCAGATATCGGTCCATTTACAGCGTATAGACAAGATCTGTTCAATTAAACTTAGGGAATATTCTAATGGCACAACCCAGCGTTGCAGTGCAGTGCGTTCAATGTATGAGTAGCTTGTCAAAAGGTGTTTGACTTCATTCTGATAATGTCAATTGAATACAATGAACTTTTGCGTACGCAAACCAACTACTACGTTTTATGCGAAATATATTCATATACATTTGGATATGTTTCAAATGGCTAAAATGTAAATTTTCCTGTTTATGCAGCACTGGTTCCAAGCGGTCACTTGAACCGCTTGGTCTTGGCTGGACTAATGAAACATGGTAGGTTTAACATCATGTCAACGTAACATCATCGCTTCTTGTTGACCGGAAAACGTTGCCTCCAGCTCCTAAACAATGAAACGTCTTCTGTCGTAATTGCTAATTAAACTAGTTAGATATTAATCTGACTCCAAACAGAATATATAATAGGTTACTTATTCAAGTCGAGATGTCTGTTAATTTGATATAATAGCAAGGATCTAGATTCTAGACAATTGCCTGTAGAGATTTTATTTCCTTCGATAAATATATTACAATAAATTAAATCAAATAAACCAACTTAAAATTTCAAGTTATTATTCTTAACAGTAGAGATCATCAGATTATTAATATTTGACGATAATGATGACGATCTCTTCTATGTTTGAGATCGTATTAAAGAGGTACAACAATTTTCTCGATTGTTCGAGACCATTCTTACACAGATTATTCATGTAAAACAAGGTCATTCGACATATCACACGAGAATTATTCGCTATTTCGCATGTTATGTTGAAATATTATATTGGAATCTTCTAGAATATTCTCCAATATTTATGACTTAGGAATTATTTTTAGCCTTATATTATTTTCAAAATTATTGGTTAATTTGTTACACATTCCGGAGACCACATCTGAAATATTTGAACAGGACATACTAAAATTAACCGATAATTGTATAAGTCCTAAAATCCCTTGAAATATAAAGATGAATTCGAAATTATTATGTCATCAATGCACAAATGTCCAAATTTAAAATCTCAAAATATTCATAATAATAATTGAAATGTCAATGTAATTTGTTTGAAAACTATCAGATGTAAACAATTAATTTCAACAAACAAACTGTTTGATGTAAATAGCAATAATATAACACAAGGGGTAGCGATTTTGATACACATAATTTTGTTTATATAGTTTACCAGTAATATTTATTTTTGGAGTGTAAAAATGTGTGGAACAAGTAAGAGTAATGTATTACCTTCCTCTGAATATAACATTTTCAATTATATTTTGTTTTGTACAAAGATATCTCTAATTGAATCAAGTAAGTTTAAATTTTCAAAACAAGAGGGATTCGTGTCCAACAGATAAAAGGATTGTGAACGAATCAGGTTTGATTTTTATTGAATTATATTTTTGTCTTCAAATTCTAAAATAAATAAGTTTTATTTAATATTTGAAAGATCAGATTTCAATCTGTAAGCGATTGTTATATACTTATATACTCAATACTATTCAAAATTTTATTTGCCATTTAACACATGGTATATATGATTTTTGTATTTACTCCTGGAGGATGAAAGCTGATAACGTGGCTCAATCATGCAGCGAGTCGCATAAGTTGCGTCGGCATAACTTGGGAACAATACTGGCAGTAACTTGTCGTTACAAGATTAACGTTATAATGATTCCGATTTATTTAATTACCCAGATATACTTTCGGTCCTGAAGAATTTAGTTCCGCGGATGGTGACGAAAAACACTCAACTTGCGGAGATAGGAAATGTACTCACATATCGTACTACGGTTCGACAAAATGTATCCCGCAAGTCAAATTGTTCAAACCTTTCAAACACTACGGTGTTGAGTACAAGTAAGTGCAATTTGTTTAGAATAGTGATAAAACAATGTGTAATTGTGGAAAACAATTATAATATAAATTATATAACAGGAAGTCGAAGAAAACTTGTGGTGACGACAAAAGGAACTATGGACGAGGGGATATCCTGGTTCCAGACCCGCACAGATCACACGATTTAATCGATGACTCTTGCAAATGTCAAACTATCTGGTGCTTGGATGAAAGTATGACAATTTATGAAAAAGGTGGCAAATTGTTCAAAGGAAACGTCACAGTGAAGGTTTGTTTACGTTTATGACGATTTTTCTAAAATTCTCAAAACAGTTTATTAAATTACATTTATATTTAGTATTCATTATAATATATTTAAATTTATAAACGTCGATTAAACGAATACATTCGAATTTGGGTTCAAAATAATTTTTTAATAATTATTTGAAGACAAATATCAACCACCATTTTGCAATATTGCTCAAAGTAAGTAAGAATCGGTTTGAAACGTTAATAAAAAATATTCATCGTAAGCAATTTCATCAATTAATAATTATAGAAAATGTTAACCCATAAACGAATAATTTTTGCTTGTCTTGATTGATTTTATATCACGTATTATTTATCACAGACTCCGTGCAAATGTGAATGCAGAAAGAGATTCATTATGATGGGACCTTATGGCGGCGGCAAATAATATTTTTTATATACAGATATTCGATCCTTATCAAACAAATTTATCTGCTTTTCATTGCATTGGACATACGTAAAATATATGGATCTAAGAAAAATATTATTCGACCGTTTTTTTAATTCTGTTGGCTAATGGATTTAGTGATAGCAGTGTATAAAAATGTTTACTGACTTTTCCATTGTCAATTGGAACAAAAGGGATTCAACGTTTCCGTGTGATTGAATATTCAATTTTTTTCTTGAATGAGTAATTTTGTTGTTCGCGTATTTCAATGCAAAAACATTGCATTATTAGCATCAAAGTTAATACACTAAAGTCATTAGCTAATCCGTCCTTTACTACATCATACATTGAACAGACTGAAAAATTGGTTTGTGCCAATATAAAATCACTGTAAACTTGTTTATCCGGTATAAATGTACCGATATCTTCTTGATCCAACTTAAACCAGTACCTAGGAAATCAGATAATAACAAATATTATAGCAGACGGCGATAAACAAAATTAGGTTTGAATGCAATGCATCTAACTCAGAATTCTACCCGGGGTTATCGCAACTTTCAGCAAAGATAAAATGGCTTTTGTCTTTGGCATGCACTCGAGAATTCTAATATTGTATGAATATTCTGAAAGGCTAGTTGGAATATACCACTTGGTAGGGATTTGTCCAAAATAATTTGTTTTAAAACTATTGTTTTAAATCGTGTTTTGTTTTGTCTGGTTTGTTTAATGGCGGTTGTACTTGTTTTTGTTTTGTATTAAATAGGTTAAAACAAGACAAATTTAATCAAAACTTCCCTTATCGATTCTTATAGTCAAAAAGGTATTCAAATAGCCGCAGGACGTTACGGACAGGTCGATGACTTGCCCGAACACGCCCTCTCAAGCTGTAGCACAACGCTCATGTCCAACTATGCCACCACGTGTTGGAGTTGCGACCCGCCAAATTCACAAAGGCGGCGAAGTTTTCGGTTTTCAGTAAGCATTCTGGTGTCGAACGTCGTCGCTGCGTCTTTCACCAACGGTTGGGCGTCGATTATCGGAACGCTACCGATACCGTAACGAAGTGTTTGCTGAATGTCTGGTAGAAAGAGAAGTTGAATATGGACTATTTACCGGGAAATTTAACCTAACACAACAGAAGGTAAAACTCACTGCAGGAGGGCAGTGTGCAATGTAAGTATTGTGACAAAAACATTGTAGGAATAGTGGGCCGCATGATTGGTCATTCATACGTGATTCTATTTGTGTTTACATTGTTACGGTATTTTAGCATTTCTGATGCTAATTTGATTGCCCCAAGAGTCTAAGTACCGGTACAAATACACTGAATACAGGTATAGTACCGATATTTCTTGCTATACAGGAATAACTTGCGTTAAGAACACGCTCGCTGTGGCACCCCTGGTTCATACCAGGACAGAATCACTGTAGTGTTAACTCGGTGCCGTAATCTGCTGCACTGTTGCAACTCTAACTCTGTAGGTCAGCCTAGGGATTTGTCCAAAATAATTTGTTTTAAAACAATTGTTTTAAATCATGTTTTTTTTTGCTTTGTTTGTTTAAAATGGCGGTTGTACTTGTTTTTTTGTGTTAAATAGGTTAAAACAAGACAAATTTAATCAAAACTCCCCTCAACAGGAAATGTTAAAATTATTTTGTTTATGCCACTCTCATATTCCCGCATGGTATGGGTTCTGAATCCTTAGGATATATTCGAAAGAAAAAAATTAATTTCTCAACTCCTAGTGTCATTCTTCGGTAGCATAATATCCAAACAATATCAGAATTCTAGAGAGTAATCTCCACATTCAGTGTATATTCAGCCATACAAGTAATGTACATACAAATCTAAGTGTCATATAAACATACCAGGGTGGCCAGAAAGTAAGTGGTGGCCCAAAAGTAGGTATACAGTTATTAAACTATTTTATATGCTTGGAAGCTACTTGCAGTTCACTTTATGTTACTTGTTAAGTACCACAAAAATTGCTTATTTTTTTAGATAATAAATCTAGTGTGAATTTTACATTAGTTTTCTAGCTGCTTGGAAGGTAATAAAAAATAAACGAGAATATCGGTCGGAGACCGAAGACTTATCGATCGAAAATGCGGTTTCGATTCATGACTCTATAGTGACACCGCGTGCTCCATCACTAATTATATAATAATTCGCTAATTATACGACATAATTCATTTAAAATCAATTGGTTTCTGGTCCGAGATATGATGAATGCACATGCAAAATCTGCATCCAATCTCGCTTTCGTGAGATATCGCGTACATCTAACAGACAGACAAATACCTATCAACATACTTACCGATTGAAATCGATAGGTAATAACTGTTTACCTACTTTTAGGCCACCCTGTATATCCAACTCAATAGGCATATACAGTCAATTATACATAGAATGCCAAAAACATATTCTTATATAACAAACTAACTGAATATACATATACAGCCATTTATGTGACGTATATACAAATCTAAGAAAGATAAGAGGCACTGCTCTAGGTTAAATGCATACTTGTTGTGCATAGTTCTGCAATTATTTTTCACGTCATTTCATATTGTATATCGCAATTTAGTGAAGTTTCGATTCGGGAAGAAAATTACGTCAGTAGACAGAGTAAAAAAAAATTTACCTAGGAAATAAAGCAGAAGTATCCAGGCTTTAGAAAAGATTGCACTGATAGCGAAGCGGAGTGCACTACTTGAAAATAAATGCAAGATTAGCTTACAGTTGCACGTTGACAAGACAAGAATTCAATATTGCATTGCCGTCACTTCGTCTATTGTCACTTTTATATTTTAAGCCTTGAGAATTTAGTAGATATATAATGTATTATTCTGAGATACTGCTGACATATGGTTTTACCGAATGATGTGTCCTACAGTTCGGCTTTAGAAATATGGTCACCCTAAATAAAGTTATGTAACAATAAAACCTAATGTCATAGGAATATACATTTAATGTAATATACATGTACATTCATTTAAGTAATATACATACACAGCCCTGGTCATATAGTCAATTGAGTATACAAGTACAATCACTAAGGTGATGTGTATACAAAAGCCAATTCCATATGCATATACATTCAAATTATAGGCTAGGGCTAGGCGATGTGGCGCATCGTTCTAGGCGTTATGAATACGCTCGCCATCGCACCTCTGACTACCCTGCGTGGGTTCGCAGATTCGAACCCAATATGGGGGTTAATTATGTGCCAGAGGAACTTATCGATTCCGTATGGTGGGTTCAAGAAACCGCTGGTCGCTTACGGCTCACTATACCATCAAATCTTCGTGTAAATAAGCCGACTTATCGGCTTCCCTCGCCCCCGGGATAAATATGCAAATCCTATCTGATTCATATACATATGGAGTCAACCAAGTATACATATTAAGTTAATTCAATATTCTCATGCCACCGATGTAATATACAGCAAACTCAAGATATTATACAGTCAGTAAAGCTTTACTTAAATAATGCACTGTAAGAACAATGCCTCAAGGAACTGACATAAAGCACAGGTTTGTATATTTAAAAATGTTACTCGTGGAAAGCTTGTGGTTTCCAACCACTTGTACTCTATACAGCGTTGAAAGGTTTTCCTTGAAAGAGATTTGTCAGTAGATAAAATGTGACAGGAAAGTATAATTTAGTATGCTCAAAAGAAATAAGTGTTGCTTGATAAATAAGTAAATATTCCCATCAAGATAAACTTGTGGTAAATGAACAGATATAAAACCGCTGATTGCAAACAAATAAACGCTTATTTGAATATGGATAAATGTATTTGGAGAATCCGACTACACAAACAAGTCAACGTTCGTTCTAACGGAATCAGTTAAAATAATTTCAAAATGACCCCCAGTCGTCCAGTAACAGATTGTATTTCAGAACTGTATTTTGAAATGGAAAGAATGAAAAGCAGTCGAGAGGATTCAAATACATAGCGTCATGCCGAAACCTTCTTTTCTACTATTAAAATGACGTGAATAAACAAATAATCGGTTTTACGAGCGAGTATTTGATAAATAACTTTCATAAACTATATCTTCTGTAAAATTTATTTTTGATTCTCCATGAGTTTGCAAATCAAGGAACTAATCTTGATGTCCAACTTTTAGATCTGCTGGTATAGCATAAAATGGTTGAATTATCCATGGTGGAAAAGTGACGTTAAAAAGATATGTGTAAATTTGCTACAATCTTTGTTTAATTCCAGATATGATAAATGCTTAAATAATATATATTGTATATGCACTCGAGGCGTCGTTTTGAAACTTTCCGCAACTTAGTCTAAGATGAAAATCCACAAAGCATATTTTAATACGGGATGTCTGTGTGATTCCTCATATTTGTTCCCAACGCAGTGCCCTAAGGTATTCCGCTACATTAATTACAGTCTGAACAATTCTAAACAATATCGAATGAGTTTTAGGATATTTATTATAAAATATCAGTTGTAAATTATAAATTTCGGAATTGTATTGAGCAAAGTAATAAAAAATTGAGCAATATATATTTATTCGTTCAAATCATTTGATGAGAAATATATTTGTTTTATTTGACAGTGATTTCATCTTAAAACTAACTTATGTCAAAGAAGAGCATGAATATGATTACTATTATTTGTTTGCTGTTTATTTCTGAGATAACTGCAAACTATACGCCAAAGCAAGAATTCGTGCATTCGGAATTCTTCAAAAGATTCGACAAAAAGGTTTGTTAAATAACACCATTTCTTCATTTCTAATTTCAATATTACATTTTAAATTATATTTTGTTCTTTGCAAAGATATCTTTGATTGAAGCAAGTAAGTTCAAATTTCCGAAACAAGAGGGATTCGTGTCAAAAGAATACCCGGAATGTTATCGAATAAGGTTTGATTATTATTGAATTATATTTTTGTCTTCAAATTCTAAAATAAATAAATTCTTCATAATAGTTGAAAAAATAAAATTCAATCTGTAAGCGATTGTTAACTTATATACTGAATATCATTTGAAATTTTATTTGTAAGTCAACGTATAGTAGATATGATTTTTTGATTTACTCCGGGAAGATGAGAGCTGATAACGCGGCTCAATCATGCAGCGAGTCGCATAAGTTGCGGCGGCATAACTTGGGAACAATACTGGCAGTATATTGTCGTTAAAAAATTGATTTTGTTACGATTCCGATTTATTTAATTACCCAGATATACTTCCGGCCCAGACAAATTTTGTTCCGCGAATGGTGATGAAAAACACTCAACTTGCCGAGATAGGAAATGTACTCATATATCGTACTATGGTTCGACAAATTGTAATCCACAAGTGAAATTGTTCAAACCTTTCAAACACTACGGTATTGAGTGCAAGTAAGTACAAGTCATATAATGGAGTACTGAAACAATTGGTATTTGATAAAAGTTATTAAAAAATAACGTTTGAACAGGAAGCCAAATGAATTTTGTCACGGTGGCGAAATTAACGATGGACGAGATAATGTCTTGTATCCAGACCCGCACAGATCACACGATTTAATTGATGATGCTTGCGAATGTCAAACTATCTGGTGCTTGGATGAAATTATGACAATTTACGAAAAAGAAGGCAAATTGTTCAAAGGAAACGTCACAGTGAAGGTTTGTTTACGTTTATGAAAATTTTTCTAAAATTCTCAAAACAGTTCATTCATTATAATATTTTTAAATTTGTAAATGTCCATTCAATGAATACATTCGAATTCGGGTTCAAAATAATTTTTTAATAATTATTCGAAGACAAATATCAACCACCATTTTGCAATATTGCTCAAAGTAAGTAAGAATCGGTTTGAAACGTTAATAAAAAATATTCATCTTAAGCAATTTCATCAATTAATAATTATAGAAAATGTTAACCCATAAACGAATAATTTTTGCTTGTCTTGATTGATTTTATATCACGTATTATTTATTACAGACTCCGTGCAAATGTGAATGCAGAAAGAGATTCATTATGATGGGACCTTATGGCGGCGGCAAATAATATTTTTTATATACAGATATTCGATCCTTATCAAACAAATTTATCTGCCTTTCATTGCATTGGACATACGTAAAATATATGGATCTAAGAAAAAAATAATTCGACCGTTTTTTTTATTCTGCGGGCTAAAGGATTTAGTGATAGCAGTGTATGAAAATGTCGAGTGATTCCATCGTTGTTAGTCGCAATCAAAGTAATTCGACTTATTCAATTTTTCCGTGTTTTTGGGTACCGTACATTTTTATTGAATGATCAATTTTGTATGATAAATGGTAGTTTGTTCGCGTACTTCTGGGAGACTTCTACAACAACACTGCATTGTTAGCATGAAAACTACCACACTAAAGTCATTAGCTAACCCATTCACTTAAGCTACGTCATATATTGAACAGACTGAAACCCTGGTTTATGCGACTGGAACATCACTGAGGTTGCAATGAATGAATGCCGTTTATCCGGTATAAATGTACCGATATCAGCCTGGCCTAACCTAAACTAGTACCAAGAAAATCAGCTAATAATAGCTATGGCAGGAGACGACAATAAACAAATTAGGTTCAAATGCGTTGCATACAACGTAGAATTCTCCCCGAGGTTATCACAACTCTCAGCAAAAAAAATTGCTTTTGGCTTTGTCATGCATTCGAAAATTCTAATATTGTTTGGATACTTACGGAGGTTTATGGGAATATAGCACTTGGATTAATTGTATAATAATATACATCAGAACAGAAATGAACCAACCTTAATCAAGCAAATTTCCTCCTTCGGCTTCCTTTTATACGTTCAATTGCCACAGAATGAAATAATAACACCACATGTTCAAGTTCTTCCTTGATATTAGGTAGTTGTTTCTTAGCTAGATCTATTAAAAACATTATGAAGCAAGAAAAACGTTGTTTCTCGTAAAGAATGATTTCACAAACTATATACAAACATAAAAATTTATGTTTGATGACCACATTCCCGATAACAGCAAATGTCAAAATTGTTTCGTTTATGCCACTCTCATATTCCCGCTTGAGATGGGTTCTGAATGAATAAGGTCTATTCGTCAAAAAAAATCTATTCGTATGCTTAGCTGAGGAAATTAGTGTTGATTTGTAAACAAACGTTATCATATTATTAGAGAATTCTGTAGCAAATTAAACAGATCAAAATCGCTGGCTGGGAAAAGAAACAGTTTATTAAAAAGTTTCTTGAATAAGGATTGTGGTATTTTTGTATAAAGTCGTGAAGTTTATTAATTAACATCACATCATCCCTAGTGGCATTTTCAGTACCATAATATCCAAACAATATTAGAATTCTCGAGTGTTACCTCGACATCCAATGCAAATCAAGCCATTTGAGTGATGTACGTGCATATGCGAATGTCAATGAAAGAAGACTAGATAAAATTTGACAAGAAAATTTAATTGTATATGCTCCGCTGAACTGAATAAACAAGTAAATATTTGCATTTAAATAAACGTGTGGTAATTAAATAGTTTTTAAATCGCTGACTGAAGAAAAAAACGTTTACTTAAATGTGGATAAATGTATTTGGAGAATTCGACTACACAACCAAGCCAACGTTTGTTCTCACGGAATCAGTTAGAATAATTTCAAAATAACCCCCATTCGTCTAGCAAGGGATTAACAACTGTATTTTGATATGAAAAGTAAAATACATAGCGCCATGTTGAAACCTCCTTACTATTAATATAATGATAGAAATAAACAAATCATCTGTTCGACTGCGAAAAAAACGAGTGGGTATTTGCTAGATGACATGCAACACAAAACTTTTTTGTGGAATTTATTTTGAATTTTTTATCATTTTTCAAATTAATGAGTTAGTTAATCTTAAAGTTCAACCTTCAGATCTGCAGCACTAGCAGTAAATTGTTGAATAATCCATCGTGACGTTAATGTATGAATCATATGCAGTCTTTGTTTAATTTTAGCACTAATAAATGCTTAACATACTGTATTTGCACTCGAGGCGTCGTTTTGAAACCTCTTTCAAATTAGTTCAGAATGAAAATTCACAAAGTATATTTTTATATAGGATGTTTCTGTGTTTCTCATAGTTGCTCGTATCGCAGTGCCCTAGGTATAGGGTATTCCGCTAGATTATTTTGAGTCTGAAAAATTTCAATCAATATTGAACGAGTTTAGGGATATTTATCATGAAATATTAGTTGTAAAATTATAATTTGGAAATGCATTGAGCAAAGCAATAAAAAACTGAGCAGTTTATATATATTGGTTTGAATCATTTGATGAGAAAGATATTTGTTCTTATTTCACAGTGATTTCATCTTAGAACTAACTAACTAAGATCAAGGCAAAACATGAATATAATTACTATTATTTGTTTGTTGTTTATTTCTGAGATAACTGCAAACTATACGCCAAAAGAAGAATTCGTGCATTCGGAATTTTTTCAAAGATTCGACAAAAAGGTTTGTTAAATTACACCATTTCTTAATTTTTGAATAAAATCTGAATAAAAAATGTTTGATTATATTTTGTTCTGTGCAAAGATATCTCTGATTGAGGCAAGTAAGTTCAAATATCGGAATCAAGAGGGATTCGTGTCCAAAAAATACAAGGAATGTGAACGAATAAGGTTGGATTTTTAATGAATTTTATTTTTGTCTTCAATTAAATCCTAAAATAAATAAATTCTTCATAATATTTGAAAGAATAAAATCCAATCTGTAAGCTATTGTTAACTTATGTACTGAATGATATTTAAAATTTCATTTGTGAGTAAACGCATGGTAGATATGATTTTTTGATTTACTCCGGGAGGATGAAAGCTGATAACGCGGCTCAATCATGCAGCGAGTCGAATACGTTGCGGCGGCATAACTTGGGAACAGTACTGGCAGTATATCGTCACGCTAATAACCAAATTGCGTAAGTCATTTTTGGCTATTTTGAGTTTTTCATAAAATAGGTATTTATGTAATGCTGCGCATCTGTCTGTTAACTCAGATTTTATTTTAAGAATTCCGAAACCCATAAAAATGAAGATTTAATATGACATGCACATTTGTGCTATTGTTTCGTCATAATGAATTATCATTGTTCCCGTAGGACTATTGTGACGTCACAAAGGCAAAATAACCTCGGCGAAGTATTTTCGAGTTTTTGCATTTCGGATTCTAGCTTAGCGCGTATTAATTTGAATTTATTCTACAGTATAGGAAGACGTTCAAACGTGATATTTACTGTCCGAGTCAAATTCACCTTGGTTGGCTTTTATATTGGGTACATTGCTGTTTTATTCTTTATATTTAATCTTAGTCTTATTTCGGTGGGTGTGCAGAACGTGTTATATTGATGAAATATTTATTTTTGAACATAAAAAATAATGTAGTTGAAACTGATTAGCCATTTTGGGGATTAGACATTAAATACTAAGAATTACATTCGTTTTTAGAATGTTTAGTTTTCAGAACTGGTGCATATATTAAAGTTGCAAAATTGCGTATGTCCCTAAGTCATAGGCACATTTCTGTCTAAGTCACAGTGCGCCATTATGACGTCACTTAACTGCGTCATACAAATTAACTTAAATCGGGCTACGGTCAAAAAATTGAACCATGGCAAATTATTGACTCTCAATGGCATAACAATATCATTAGGAAGTTTTTTACGTTTTTCTCAAAACTGCTAAAAATGACTTACGCAATTCGGTTATTAGCGTGACGATATTGTCGTTAATAAATTGATGTTGTTCCGATTCCGATTTATTTAATTACCCAGATATACTTCCGGCCGAGACAAATTTTGTTCCGCGAACGGTGATAAAAAACACTCAACTTGCGGAGATAGGATATGTACTCACATATCTTACTACGGTTCGACAAGATGTAATACACAAGTAAAATTGTTCAAGCCTTTCAAACACTACGGTGTCGAGTGCAAGTTGGTGCAATTTATTTAGAAGAGTGATAAAAAAAAGGGTAATTGTTGAAATCAATTATAATATAAACTTTATAACAGATAGTCGAAGAAAGCGTGCGGTAACGACAAAAGGAACTATGGCCGAGAAAATGTTTTGCATCCAAACCCGCGTAGATCATATAATTTGGATGACGACTCTTGCGAATGTCAGACTATCTGGTGCTTTGGTGAAATTATGACAATTTACGAAAAAGGTGGCAAATTGTTCAAGGGAAACGTCACGGTGAAGGTTTGTTTACGTTTATGACGATTTTTATAAAATTTTCAAAACAGTTTATCAAATTGATTTTGTATTCGGTTTTTTATTATTAATCATTTTAAATTTATAAACATTCATTCAATAAATACATTCGAATTCGGGTTCAAAATTATTTTTTTAATATTTCTCACCATTGTTTGAAGACCAATATTATCTACCATTTTGCAATATTGCTTAAAGTAAATAAGACTTGGTTTGTAACTATAATAAAAAATATTAATTTTAAGCAATTTCCTCAATTAATAATTATGAATAATGTTAACATGAATGCATAAATTTTTGCTTTTATATCACGTTTCATTTATTACAGACTCCGTGCAAATGCGAATGCAGAAAAAGATCCATTATGATAGGACATTATGATACAGGAAAATAATATCTTTTATATACAGATATTTGATGTTTATCACAATCTGTATTTCATTGCATTGGACATTCCTAAAATATTCGAATCTGAGAAAAAAATTATTTGACATTTTTCATTTTATTCTGTGGGCTAAAGGATTTAGTGAGAGGAGTGTATGAAAATGTTGACTGCTCCGCTGTTGTCAGTCGCAAACAAATTAATTCAATTAATTCAATATTTCCGTTTCTTGGGTACCTTTTATTTTATTGAAAAATGGTATTTTGTTCACGTATTTCTAGGCAAAAACATTGCATTATTATCATCGAAATTACTAAACCAAAGGAAATACCTAATCCATTCTCTCAAGCTACGTTTTACACCACTGAACAACTGCAACACTGGTTTTTGCCAGTAGAAAATCACCTAGGTTTCACTGAATAAAACTAGTTTATCCGGTATAATTGCACCAATATCTGCCTAGCCTACCTGAACCAATACCTCAGCTAATAATAGATATCGCGGGAAACGACAATAAACAAAATTAGATTTAAAGGTGTTGCATATAACGAAGAATTCTCCCCATGGTTGTCGCAACTCTCAGCAAACATAAAATATTGTTTGGGTACTTCGGAAGGCTAATTGAAATATATCACTTAGAATAATTGTATATTAATATACTTCCTTCACCATCCTTACTCAAGCAATTTTTCTCCTTCGGCAAGCGATCTTTGATATGTTCAATTTCCACAGAAGGAAATAATAACACTACACGTTCATGTTCCTTGATATTGGATAGTTAGTTTTAAGCTAGATCTATTAAATCATTATGAAAAAAGGAAAACTTTATTTCTCGTCGAATGATTTCACAAACTATATACAAACATAAAAACTCATGTTTGATGACCACATTCCAGATAACAGCAAATGTCAAAATACATTCGTTTATGCCACTCTCATATTCCCGTATGAGTGGGAAACTTTTTCTGAAATTTTTTTGAAATGTCTCTCTTATAATCGGCATAGCCTAGGGAAAATTAGCGTGACGTGTCTCCGGATACTGTTAGTAAAAAGCGACAAAAAACTCTTTCCAGCGGGACTTTGGGAAAGTTTCTTGCACGTTTGATTAACTAGTTATGACATATTATAGAAGGGGTATGAAAATTCCCTCGGACCGTTGAAAATAAAGGGGTGTACATCACCCCCAGTGGCATTTTCCAGTACCATAATATCCAAACAATATTAGAATGCTCGAGTGTAACCTCGACATCCAATGCATATCAAGCCATATAAGTGATGTACATGTACATGCGAGTGTCATAGAAAGAAGACTATTCAATATGCATAAATAGTCAGTTATATAATGCTGAAGTCATATTATTGTCTAACCAACTGGATATACCTATGCAGCTATTCAAGCCATATACAAGAAAATTTGATATTATAGGCATATGCGTCCAACTAAATTTGCATATACAGCCATTGAAGTGATGTGCTGACAAATTCCATATTGAGTCAACCAAACATACATATTAAGTCAGTGCCATATTCTTATGCCATCAATTTCATATGTATATACAGCAAATTCAATATATTATAATGCCAGAAGAGTTTTATTCTAAACAATTCATTACATTGGCATAACACAACAATAAAACGCTTAAAAAAAGTATTCGTGTAGCCTCACTTAATAGTGAATGAAGCACTACGATGTTTTTTTCAGGATGAAGATGTTTTATGATTTTAGAAATTAGAATAAACGTAAAATTTTATAATAAATTTGCATGTTGAAGTAAATGATTCAAAATACTGCAAACATATATAATTGTATTACTTTCAAGCGAAATTTTTTGGAAAGGCTAAGAAAATATAAAATACGTCGAAAATCTTTTTTTTTTCAGTAGTAATAAATATTATAATGCTATAATATTACAGTATAAAGATTTGATTCAGGAACAACATATGTTTTTAATAATTAATAAAAAATAATAAACATTTAAAACAGTGATGGTAGGCTTGTGGCATGTCACCACTAATGCGCAATATGGCGTTTATTGTTTTTACCTTGTGAGATTTCTGTCAGTAGATAAATGTTGACGTCAAGTATTTAGTTCTGTATTCGTGACTGCAGTGTTGATCTATAAACAAGTATTCGCTTCACATTGAATTTGTGGTGGTAATGTCGCATTATTAGGTAATTGAACAGATTAACATCGCTCACCGTAGAAAGCGATGAATATAGATAATTGCTTTTAAATAGACCTGAGAAATATTTAACATGGAATTACTCCAATTGACATATTTCAAATACCACAATATCTAAACGATATTAGAATTCGAGTGTGTAAGAAAAACGAATCAATTCTGAATTAGCGCTAGAATGCAGTAACAGTAATTCCGGAACTAAAATTCTTCATCTCTTTTTATTGAAAGTTAAAACTCTGTGTGTTGTTGCTGGATATTGTTGCTCGTTTTGGTTCCACACGGCCTTCAAATGCCAGTAAAACTTTGTGCTAATCACGTTTATGTAATTTGTGCACGATGGATTTTTATTGGAATAAACAAACTTGACAATTTTCTAATATTTCCCAGTTATAGGCGAAAAAGCACGGTTTATGTACACCGCAAGTTTTTGTTTATTGTTGTCTTCTCCGACATCCATTATTAGCTATTTTAGGCATTAGTTTTAAGTTATGCCATGCAGATATCGGTCCATTTACAGCGTATAGACAAGATCTGTTCAATTAAACTTTGGGAATATTCTAATGGCCCAACCCAGCGTTGCAGTGCAGTGCGTTCAATGTATGAGTAGCTTGCCAAAAGGTGTTTGACTTCATTCTGATAATGTCAATTGAATACAATGAACTTTTGCGTACGCAAACCAACTACTACGTTTTATGCGAAATATATTCATATACATTTGGATATGTTTCAAATGGCTAGAATGTAAATTTTCCTGTTTATGCAGCACTGCTTCCAAGCGGTCACTTGAACCGCTTGGTCTTGGCTGGACTAAGGAAACATGGTAGGTTTAACATCATGTCAACGTAACATCATCGCTTCTTGTTGACCGGAAAACGTTGCCTGACCGGAAAACGTTGCCTCCAGCTCCTAAACAATGAAACGTCTTCTGTCGTAATTGCTAATTAAACTAGTTAGATATTAATCTGACTCCAAACAGAATATATAATAGGTTACTTATTCAAGTCGAGATGTCTGTTAATTTGATATAATAGCAAGGATCTAGATTCTAGACAATTGCCTGTAGAGATTTTATTTCCTTCGATAAATATATTACAATAAATTAAATCAAATAAACCAACTTAAAATTTCAAGTTATTATTCTTAACAGTAGAGATCATCAGATTATTAATATTTGACGATAATGATGACGATCTCTTGTATGTTTGAGATCGTATTAAAGAGGTACAACAATTTTCTCGATTGTTCGAGACCATTCTTACACAGATTATTCATGTAAAACAAGGTCATTCGACATATCACACGAGAATTATTCGCTATTTCGCATGTTATGTTGAAATATTATATTGGAATCTTCTAGAATATTCTCCAATATTTAGGACTTAGGAATTATTTTTAGCCTTATATTATTTTCAAAATTATTGGTTAATTTGTTACACATTCCGGAGTACACATGCGAAAAATTTAAAAAGGACATACTAAAATTAACCGATAATTGTATAAGTCCTAAAATCCCTTGAAATATAAAGATGATTTCGAAATTATTGTGTCATCAATGCACAAATGTCCAAATTTAAAATCTCAAAATATTCATAATAATAATTGAAATGTCAATGTAATTTGTTTGAAAACTATCAGATGTAAACAATCAATTTCAACAAACAAACTGTTTGATGTAAATAGCAATAATATAACACAAGGGGTAGCGATTTTGATACACATCATTTTGTTTATATAGTTTACCAGTAATATTTATTTTTGGAGTGTAAAAATGTGTGGAACAAGTAAGAGTAATGTATTACCTTCCTCTGAATATAACATTTTCAATTATATTTTGTTTTGTACAAAGATATCTCTAATTGAATCAAGTAAGTTTAAATTTCCAAAACAAGAGGGATTCGTGTCCAAAAGATAAAAGGAATATGAACGAATCAGGTTTGATTTTTATTGAATTATATTTTTGTCTTCAAATTCTAAAATAAATAAGTTTTATTTAATATTTGAAAGATCAGATTTCAATCTGTAAGCGATTGTTATATACTTATATACTCAATACTATTCAAAATTTTATTTGCCATTTAACACATGGTATATATGATTTTTGTATTTACTCCTGGAGGATGAAAGCTGATAACGTGGCTCAATCATGCAGCGAGTCGCATAAGTTGCGTCGGCATAACTTGGGAACAATACTGGCAGTAACTTGTCGTTACAAGATTAACGTTATAATGATTCCGATTTATTTAATTACCCAGATATACTTTCGGTCCTGACGAATTTAGTTCCGCGGATGGTGACGAAAAACACTCAACTTGCGGAGATAGGAAATGTACTCACATATCGTACTACGGTTCGACAAAATGTATCCCGCAAGTCAAATTGTTCAAACCTTTCAAACACTACGGTGTTGAGTACAAGTAAGTGCAATTTGTTTAGAATAGTGATAAAACAATGTGTAATTGTGGAAAACAATTATAATATAAATTATATAACAGGAAGTCGAAGAAAACTTGTGGTGACGACAAAAGGAACTATGGACGAGGGGATATCCTGGTTCCAGACCCGCACAGATCACACGATTTAATCGATGACTCTTGCAAATGTCAAACTATCTGGTGCTTGGATGAAATTATGACAATTTATGAAAAAGGTGGCAAATTGTTCAAAGGAAACGTCACAGTGAAGGTTTGTTTACGTTTATGACGATTTTTCTAAAATTCTCAAAACAGTTTATTAAATTACATTTATATTTAGTATTCATTATAATATATTTAAATTTATAAACGTCGATTAAACGAATACATTCGAATTTGGGTTCAAAATAATTTTTTAATAATTATTTGAAGACAAATATCAACCACCATTTTGCAATATTGCTCAAAGTAAGTAAGAATCGGTTTGAAACGTTAATAAAAAATATTCATCTTAAGCAATTTCATCAATTAATAATTATAGAAAATGTTAACCCATAAACGAATAATTTTTGCTTGTCTTGATTGATTTTATATCACGTATTATTTATCACAGACTCCGTGCAAATGTGAATGCAGAAAGAGATTCATTATGATGGGACCTCATGGCGGCGGCAAATAATATTTTTATATACAGATATTCGATCCTTATCAAACAAATTTATCTGCTTTTCATTGCATTGGACATACGTAAAATATATGGATCTAAGAAAAATATTATTCGACCGTTTTTTTAATTCTGTTGGCTAATGGATTTAGTGATAGCAGTGTATAAAAATGTTTACTGACTTTCCCATTGTCAATTGGAACAAAAGGGATTCAACGTTTCCGTGTGATTGAATATTCAATTTTTTTCTTGAATGAGTAATTTTGTTGTTCGCGTATTTCAATGCAAAAACATTGCATTATTAGCATCAAAGTTAATACACTAAAGTCATTAGCTAATCCGTCCTTTACTACATCATACATTGAACAGACTGAAAAATTGGTTTGTGCCAATATAAAATCACTGTAAACTTGTTTATCCGGTATAAATGTACCGATATCTTCTTGATCCAACTTAAACCAGTACCTAGGAAATCAGATAATAACAAATATTATAGCAGACGGCGATAAACAAAATTAGGTTTGAATGCATTGCATCTAACTCAGAATTCTACCCGGGGTTATCGCAACTTTCAGCAAAGATAAAATGGCTTTTGTCTTTGGCATGCACTCGAGAATTCTAATATTGTATGAATATTGTGAAAGGCTAGTTGGAATATACCACTTGGTAGGGATTTGTCCAAAATAATTTGTTTTAAAACTATTGTTTTAAATCGTGTTTTGTTTTGTCTGGTTTGTTTAATGGCGGTTGTACTTGTTTTTGTTTTGTATTAAATAGGTTAAAACAAGACAAATTTAATCAAAACTTCCCTTATCGATTCCTATAGTCAAAAAGGTATTCAAATAGCCGCAGGACGTTACGGACAGGTCGATGACTTGCCCGAACACGCCCTCTCAAGCCGTAGCACAACGCTCATGTCCAACTATGCCACCACGTGTTGGAGTTGCGACCCGCCAAATTCACAAAGGCGGCGAAGTTTTCGGTTTTCAGTAAGCATTCTGGTGTCGAACGTCGTCGCTGCGTCTTTCACCAACGGCTGGGCGTCGATTATCGGAACGCTACCGATACCGTAACGAAGTGTTTGCTGAATGTCTGGTAGAAAGAGAAGTTGGATATGGACTCTTTACCGGGAAATTTAACCTAACACAACAGAAGGTAAAACTCACTGCAGGAGGGCAGTGTGCAATGTAAGTATTGTGACAAAAACATTCTAGGAATAGTGGACCGCATGATTGGTCATTCATACGTGAGTCTATTTGTGTTTACATTGTTACGGTATTTTAGTATTTCTGATGCTAATTTGATTGCCCCAAGAGTCTAAGTACCGGTACTAATACACTGAATACAGGTATAGTACCGATATTTATTGCTATACAGGAATAACTTTCGTTAAGAACACGCTCGCTGTGGCACCCCTGGTTCAAATCAGGACAGAACCACTGTAGTGTTAACTCGGTGCCGTAATCTGCTGCACTGTTGCAACTCTAACTCTGTAGGTTAGCCTAGGGATTTGTCCAAAATAATTTGTTTTAAAACAATTGTTTTAAATCATGTTTTATTTTGCTTGGTTTGTTTAAAATGGCGGTTGTACTTGTTTTTTTTTGTGTTAAATAGGTTAAAACAAGACAAATTTAATCAAAACTCCCCTCAACAGGAAATGTTAAAATTATTTTGTTTATGCCACTCTCATATTCCCGCATGGTATGGGTTCTGAATACTTAAGATATATTCGACAGAAAAAAATTAATTTCTCAACTCCTAGTGTCATTCTTCGGTAGCATAATATCCAAACAATATCAGAATTCTAGAGAGTAATCTCCACATTCAGTGTATATTCAGCCATACAAGTAATGTACATGCAAATCTAAGTGTCATATAAACATACCAGGGTGGCCAGAAAGTAGGTGGTGGCCCAAAAGTAGGTATACAGTTATTAAACTATTTTATATGCTTGGAAGCTACTTGCAGTTCACTTTATGTTACTTGTTAAGTACCACAAAAATTGCTTATTTTTTTAGATAATAAATCTAGTGTGAATTCTACATTAGTTTTCTAGCTGCTTGGAAGGTAATAAAAAATAAACGAGAATATCGGTCGGAGACCGAAGACTTATCGATCGAAAATGCGGTTTCGATTCATGACTCTATAGTGACACCGCGTGTTCCATCACTAATTATATAATAATTCGCTAATTATACGACATAATTCATTTAAAATCAATAGGTTTCTGGTCCGAGATATGATGAATGCACATGCAAAATCTGCATCCAATCTCGCTTTCGTGAGATATCGCGTACATCTAACAGACAGACAAATAACTATCAACATACTTACCGATTGAAATCGATAAGTAATAACTGTTTACCTACTTTTAGGCCACCCTGTATATCCAACTCAATAGGCATATACAGTCAATTATACATAGAATGCCAAAAACATATTCTTATATAACAAACTAACTGAATATACATATACAGCCATTTATGTGATGTATATACAAATCTAATATCATATGAATATACGACTAACTCAATTTGCATATACGAGTAAAGGTGCGTTTACATTGGATGCGACGCGCCGCGGCAGCGCCTATGGTCGCGCGTCACAGGTGTTTACACTGTGCGCCGCCCAATTTTTGTATCGCTCGAGGGCGCCAGGGCGGTTGCTTAGAAACATAATCGCAGCAAATTCAGTCAGAAATTTCGTTAAGTATAAACAGAACAGAACAGCGAACATAATTAAAAATATAATATTGTTTCCAGGGCAATTAAAGTTATTAAATATGGAGGTAACGTTACAAGATACTGTAGTCACACATTACGAAGACGGGAAAATGGAAGTTTTAAAAGTTTTTGATGTATTATATCATCTTCCGAATCTCGAAAATGCAATTTTTATACAACAACATATGGCTGCTGCCGGCATCATTGCGACACAACATTAAATATTTTAACACACACAGCGTATTCGTCTTTAAGATTACACCACAATGATCATTTTCTATAACCACAAAATTAGCCTTTCCTTTGTGAATATCTGATTGCGCTCCTAGTTTCAATCGTTTAATGGGTTTCGACGGGAGCTTGCACAATAGCGTAATAGAGATTCGATAGACCCGCAAAAGATAAGAGGCACTGCTCTAGGTTAAATGCATACTTGTTGTGCATAGTTCTGCAATTATTTTTCACGTCATTTCATATTGTATATCGCAATTTAGTGAAGTTTCGATTCGGGAAGAAAATTACGTCAGTAGACACAGTAAAGTAAAAAAAATTTTACCCAGGAAATAAAGCAGAAGTATCCAGGCTTTAGAAAAGATTGCACTGATAGCGAAGCGGAGTGTACTACTTGCGGTTAAAGGCAAGATTAGCTTACAGTTCCACGTTGACAAGACAAAAATTCAATATTGCACTGTCGTCACTGCTAATTGCACAGCTAATTCTCAACTTTAACATGTCTACTCAATAACAAAAACAAGCACATATTTATTCAGATTAACGATTCTCAATTATTCAGTGTCATGGGTACGAATGCTATTTGCTGCATAGCAAGGCTCAATGTATGTTTATACAGGCCTAAATGATGAATTACGATGTCTGGCTACTGACGGCATGGTCCTTATCTCGAATTGTTCATTCTTATTGATCAAACTTAGCATAAGGCAGCATTTTGTGCGACGCCAAATTATCAGGGAAAAAACTCATGGCGCACCTACACGAAAAATATGCTACGTCGGAACAAAACACAATTTTGTCATCGTTAATATGTACTAAATGTCTTTTTTTTCTATCTCTGCCTGGTTTTTCTTTATAATGCTAAAGAAATCACTCAAGTTTGATAAACTCGGTTCAGCAAATGAATAAACTGCAGCCTATATGAATGCAGCATGTAGGGTTTATCACTTATATTACGTAACAATAGAATCTACGTACAGAAAGTAAACATGTAGAACGACAAAATGACTTTGATTCATAAACACGTCATTTGAAACAATTAAACATTAAGAATAAATATGATATGAAATAATGTGGCGGCGCGTCAATAGGGCCAACCGGGGCAATGCCCCGGTTGTTTTTTCGGTATAATAAAAAATATTCGAAAAATACCTCAATATCGGTTGCACAGACTGTCTACACTAGCCATATTCTCCCGACATGGTTCATTTTTCGCTCGCAAAGCCTTCGCCGAACGTCGACGGCGCGACGCCGATTTTGCCCCGGTTGCTGATTGTATATCGTATTCTCTCTTTTATCTTCCACTCGCCGCGTTTGTCTCGTTTGTTTTCTGTTTCTCTTACTAAATCATCGGGGCCGATCGGGGCTAGCCCCGAAATTATGACGACACAATGCCGACGTTTCTTACAACAACGTGTTGACATATTCACGCATTCCTTCTCGTTCGTTGATTGCTTGAAGAGTTGATAGTTTCCTCGCCTTCGTTTTTGTCGCTTGTTTTGCTATTTGAATCAGTTAGAGACCTTTAGTCCATTTGCTTTCGATTTTCCACATTCCTTTTGAGCTCCTCACTTCTTTCCGGCTTCGCATTTCTTAGCCTTAGACCTCATAATGAATAAGGTTGATGCACTACTTCGCACTCCGTTTTCGCAGCTGCCGCTGGAACAAAAATTAGAGGTACAACGTCTTGGGCCTTATCAACCAAAAAATTGTTCACTGGAACAATTCCATGACGGAGGAAAGCGTCGGCGTACATTCTGCGCAGAAACTTGGTATAAAAAACACGAATGGTTGTGTTACAGCGAGGACAAAAATGCACTTTTTTGTTTTTGTTGCCTACTTTTTGCTACCGCCCGTGACTCACGTTGGTGTAAATTTGGTTTTAGAGATCTTAAACATCTTTCCGAGCGTGCCAGGGATCATCAATCTTCTATGGAGCATCTGGACAATGCAGTAAAATACCGAACATTCGGAAATGTTAATATTGCAGCACAGTTGGATGAAGGACGCGCGGTTTCTATTCGTCGGCACAACCAAAACGTCGAGAAAAACCGC